TTTTTACCTTTTTTTTTAAATGGAAAAATAAAGATCTAGAAAGACATGCTGCAGCTAAAATAACTACAAACTTTGTTCATTGTTGAAATTGATCTTGAAATAATGTGGACCAAAGACTAAAGCACACAGATTGTTAACATAAGATTGAATCTTACATTAACAATCAGACAAAAAAAAGGTTAGTAATTTTAGATCGTAAACTTACCTGGAAATCTCACATGGACAATATAAAAAGAAAATGATGTGAAAGAATAGCAGAGAAAGAAGTAAAAGGACTGAGACTCCAGACTCTACACAGGTTTATTATTGTGAACAGAAAACAGACTTGATTAAATTAATTTAGGTCCTCATCTTGGCATTATAGGTGAGCAAATTGCTGAACGAGCTTCAAATTAAGAGTTCATGTCTTACTACTGGCTTGTGAACCATACAAGTACTACAGGAGGAATACGGCTGACATTTTGCTTTTAAACTGCTCCAGAACTCAGATTGTTTCTTCTCCCCAAACCATAAAACAGAACCTTTACTCTGGTGATCCCAGCCTCTCTCTACCTTCCAGTGTTTCCATTAAAAGATGTGAGCTCTGCCTGGAGCAGAACGTGCACAGAGTGTGTGGGATGCAGAACCATTCAGACAGATTTCCACACACCGACACAAAGAGAAACTTCTTTAAGGTGGAGTGAATTATTTATTGTGCACCACGAGAAACGACGAGTTGTGATAGTAGGAAAAGCAAATGTTACAGAATATGAAAAACATTCATCATTAGAGCTTCTTAATATCTTTTGTAGATTTTTTTTAATACTGTTTGTTTTAAAACATTTTCAAGTTCTTAAACATGCCATCCAATCAGGTTTCTTAGATAAATCAATCCAAATGTTCCCTGACAAAATGTGGACAACAAATTACATTCAAGACCATCCAGAGACATAAATTACACTTTGAATGCCTAAAACGAGAGAAATCTTTACGTAACTGTTATAACTCAGGTTTTCTGAGGATTCACTCCATAAAAACATCAATGTTCAAAAAATAATAGAATACTGGAATGTGTTTATGGTATTAAACCCATCTGTCACAGAACCTTTCAGTGCTAAAATGTCTTTTTAGGTGATCTTAAACAGTTTCCCCGGAGAAGAGTCTTACCAACTGAGGGTTTACACTGTATTTTTTTTTCTCTAATGTTGTAAAATTTGATTCATTTTTCTTTCCATGCTGCCAGCTCTGAATCAGAAGGGTTGCTACAGAGCAATAAAAAATAAATGCATTACTTCTGCTCTGGAAATGCTTTTAAATTCAAACAAAAAGAGCCTGGGAGGGAGACCACTGGACGGTCTGAGTTCTCTCATAAACCTGTTGCAACCCTGGTCATGAATCATCACATTTACAGCACAAAAATTATATAAACTATGAAACTTTAATAAATTCGCCTTTTTGTTGCTTTTTAAACGCTTTTTATTTTATGAAACACTTCTGAAACAAGCAGAGCCTCATGTCATTTAAAATGGACAGTAAAAACTGTTTGTAGGAAATGTATGTTTCTCCTGAACTGTCAAAAAAAAAAACAAATAAAAAACCATAATCTTATTTTCATGGAAGCTGCAACCTAAAGCTTTGGGAAGGGGAATCAGCAAAGTTCATTCCTTAACCGCCACGACATCACATTATGCAATCACAACTGAGATTGGCTTTCGAAACAAAACATTGTCACTTTTTGGCAACTTTTAATTGCAGTTGAACTTATACTTTGTTTCACATTTTTGTTTACATATTTCTCTGTTTTGTATATAATAATGAATATCACAATCACAAACTATAAGCCTGAAGAAATGTTTATATATGAACTTTGTATATAACTACAATCTCAACACTTTTCTTTCAAAAATCTGTTCCAAACAGTCATTACAGATTGCAAGGGAGGAAAGGTTTATTGTAATATTTCTTTGCCTCCATTGCTCTGACACACCCTGACAGCCGGGGACATGCAAGAGTGGCTGTGGTTGTGAGAGGAAAGTAAAGTGGAGGATCAAATGGCTGGAGAAAGATGAGAAATGGAGATTCAAAGGAGACCAATGGATATGAATGTATTATCATACGTTTGTCAAGCAGTCTTAAAGGAATTATTTTACATATTTTTCAGTCATTTTATTCTGCAGCATGCTGATTTTCTTTCTTGAAGGTCCAGTGAGCTGAAATCTTATCAGATCGTATTTATAACTCCAAAATTCACTGGAAATTAACGCATTTGTCCACATAAAATAGACAAGTCATCTTAATAATAGTTCTTACCATTAAGAACTGTAATTATAGTGGAACTTGGATTTTAAACTTAAAATCCAGTGAAACAAGAACAAAACGTGGTAACAACAACATTGTCAGATTGTAGATTCTGATGACATTCAAAAGTGCGCAAGCTGAAAACAATCGATTAAAAACTGGAACTTCTGAAGAATTTTTAATCTTTTAATTTGGTTACAATGTTCTTTTCCTGTCACTGTTCAATAATTTTGGCTTTCCAATTAAATGTTTTGATTTCATTTTATTAATTTAACATGAATTCACAACCTTACCAAAGGCTGTGAATTCAATCCATGTAGAGCAATGGAGAATCCAGCTGCAAAGCAATAAAGTCATGTCAGTTTCAGATCTGGTCACAGATCAATAGAAAAATAATAAGTCATATTGACATATGCAATGTAGTATTTATGCTATTTGGTAAAAGGATAATCATTTAAACCATTCAGACAGATGGATTAAATAAATAAATTAAATTACATTAAATAGCTTTTTTCCTCAATATCTTTGCTCAAACAAAGATATTACATAAAACTAATGACAGCAATAGTTCTATTAAAAACTTAATCCAAGGAAAATTCCTTAGCTAAACAAAAGAGCAACTTATGAGGCACACATGGAAAGAAAAACGGAGAGAAGACGCAACATTAACAGCTGCATTGGTTGAAAATAATGCCTAAATGAAGAGGGAAAATGTGAATTCTGGATATACTGATTATGTAATTTCTAGCAAAAAATGCAAGCGTCTGCACTAAAAGTAGGTAAGAAACTGGCACAATTTCTTTAAGTTTCTCTACTTTTTGTCACTGCTGAATGCCAAAAATGTGCACCAGACAGACACGGTGAAGGGAACAGCTGAAGACAATATTTGTAAAAGGAAAAAAATTATTATTGGTTTTCTTTCCATTGTTTATGGATCAGTTCAGCTAAATCTGCTGGTATCATTCCTGTACATAAAGAAATTTTACTTTGTCAAGCATCACATTTTTATACATTTCTTTGTAAGAAAAGCCCCAGCACACTACTGACACAATATTTCCATTTTCTATTTCTGGAACATCCCAGGTAAAAAGATTGTTTCTGTTTGATGGATGACTGTGCAGTGCAGAAACCAGGTCACTCCAGAGTGATAATGGAAGGTATTGATCCTACCTGGACACAGAAATGCCTGCAGACAATCACATCCAGACATTTTCACAGTAGCATGCATGAATAAAAACGATAATATGCTCATATATGATGAAATACTAGAAGATTTCTCTTGTAGTAACACACCTCCAAGTCTAGTCTCCTGTATCAAGTTAGCTTAATACACATTTATGCATAAATGGCAGCGGCTCATCTTGGTGCATTAAGGTCTCTAATTGTCTGCAATCTTCCACAGCAGGTGATGAGCACAGAAATAATCTGTTAGGTAATGTTGTTGCAACAGACAATGAATATGACATTATTTCCAGCTTGTATTGTGATTTATTTTATTCCACTTGTGCTTGAGTTTTGGCCAAGTCAAATTAATTAGATTCATTTCTTTGAATTGACCTTCTTCCAGCTATTTTCTTTTGCTGTTTTGCTTCCTCCTTTACCCTACCATGGCATTTTGGAATATTTATAATGCTCCAAAAAAATTATAACGAGCTATTTTTCATCTCCCTTTGAATGAGGGTGTCGTCCACAGCTTCAAGTTGCAGATATGCATCAACAAATAAAACTTTAGTTTTTCTGAGACAAAGTAAAGGTCTTCTGGTCTTAAAATCCAGATATTATAGTTGAATCAAGTCTAAGATCGTCTGTGGAGGAGAACCAACAGAGCTGATGACAATTAAACACAATTTAAGAAGCATCTATGAAGCATTGATGTAAAAATGTACATCTGTGCTAAATTATAAAACAGAACATGAAGCTTTAAATTCTTCTTAGGATCAAGTTTTTTAGTGAATACTTCTAAAGTAATTTAAATGTGTTATTGACAAGGGTATCTCTCATAGATCCCAACTGATTAATTAAGCAAATCAGATTATAGTCTATTCAAAGTTTTCAAGAGGGGTAAAACATTGTGTAAAGCACAATCAATCTTTGTTTCTCATTATTTTGCTTCCAGGTTGTTGTTTTTTTACTTAGTTTTAGCTATTTTAGTTGATTGATTTATCATGACAATGTCTGCATAAAAAAAATTATAAAAATTTGATGTAGTTTTCGTGAGATATTAACCTGCATACCATAGTTTTCAAACACCTTTTTTTCCAGAGTGGAAAGTCAAATAAAATAGTAAAAAAAAAGTGATTGTAACTTCAAAATGACTTGCTAAGCTATTAACTTTGCAGCAGAAATATTTTTAACTGGTTCCACAAAGATCCCAATTTAATTATATTTGATAAATGTATTTATTTATGCAATACCATCTGACACAGCTAACTGATCAATCCAGACCTATACACCACTGATGACAAAGTAGTTCTGTTCAGATAGTAGTCATTAAACTTGTCAAATCGCAGTTAATGTTATATAAATAATGCTATAAATCAATTAAATTGGAAAACTTGCCACTTAATAGAAATACCTTTGCAAGTTTTTGTAGGAACTATTTACTTTGCGGAGAGTTATGGTTGTCGGGAGATGAGGTCTTTGAGCATCACGGCAGTCTGCTTTGCAGCCTCGGAGGGATACGGCATCCGAGAGGGAGAGAGAAGGCTGCTGGCCGGCTCTACTTTCCACCGGCATCATTTTCGCCTCGCGGGGAGACAGTTGGTGAATTGTCACCAACGGCTGCGATAAATTTCAACATTTTACACCGAAAAAATTATAACGAGCTGTTTTTAATCTCCCTTTGAATGAGGGTGAAGCTTTTTGTCGAGGCGTTTAATGACTCGTTACCTTGTCTGTTTAACTCGTGTTAAATCCTCTCAAAGATACCAGTTTACAGGACACTCTTTTAGCAGCTAACGGATTTTTCACATTACAGTTTTATCTAACGGTAGCTTACAGGCGACATTTTAAGGCGGTTGCTCGATTTTTTTTTCTTTTTAATTCACTTTCGTCTTCTGGTCTTAAAATTCAGATATTCTGGTTGAATCAAGTCTGAGATCTGTGGAGGAGAACCGACTGACAGCGCAACAATGGGGGTAAGAAACGTTATTTATGCTTCTTTGGTTTTCAGCTGCAAAAACGTCGGCTGTTTGTTCGGCACAGATTCGGCAAAAGGTGAGTCTGCAGATGAAAGGGTTAAAATGAATGAAGGTATGATTGTACACGGCCGGTTAGCTATTTATCCAAAGTGTAACGCAGTCAAACGGATCTGACTCCTTTCAGAAAAGTCATTACATTAGGTATCTGCTGTTTATAACACCAAATCAGAGGGTGTAACGATGAAGACGGGGATTAACTGGGATGAAAGTGGGGGATGCTTGGATTGCCTCGACTCATTTTCATTCATGATATTTTTGTGGAGGAATATGCTGCAGCTTTCTGACTCATCCTTACTGAAGCAGCCTGATCAGTCTCACCTAAATGACACGTTAAATGCAGGAGTCTCCATTCTCACCTCGGGAGACAGACTGAAGCTCAGGTATATTTATTCCACATCCAAACAGGGCGTTTGAATTTCTCACAGCTTGTCGCCTCATTTATCACACATTTTAAGACATCAGAGGTGCTCTGGGTTGTTTTTATGCGATCTTAAAAGCAATCTGGGGTTATTGGTCACAAACTAAAAGGCAGACACGTTCACAATAACAAGCCAGAATTGAAAACCTCACATAGTCAGAGATGATAAATGTGCAAAATCACAGTTATGGACTAATATGTAACCTGCAAGCTGCCGAGTTTAGTCTTTCCTACCTGATTGGCTGCAGAAACTCCCGCTCACCCATACTGAGTTTTCTTTTCAGTTAGTACGCCATTTAGTACTAACTCATTTACACATTACATAATGCAACAGTGTGATGTTGCTGCCATGGATGAGGCTGGGTTTACTGAAAGATAACAAAGCAACAGTTTTGGGTATCCAATATGGACAAGTGCGTCAAAATGGTTCCTCAGCGGTGTTAATCCTCCCTCTAAACCCCCACGCAACTAAACATGTTGACTGATGGGTCCCAGAGGAAGATGCTCTCATTGACGGCAACCCTCATCATCTCGTTTTAACCCTGATACCTCATGAAACCAGGCTGAAGGTTGATCCAGACCCAAAGTTAGGCTTTATGAAACCACTTTTATATCCTGTACTGTTTTTATGAGGGAATTTTTTTTCCTGATTCATTTGTCATTATTCAACATTTCCTTGTATTTTGATAAATCAGAATTAGGCTAGCAAGAATATATACAGTACCGAACTCTGAACCCGTTAGTGCTTTCTCTTGTGCTCCATATCCAGCTGTAGAGGGTTGGGATAAGAGAAGACTAGAGTCGAGTATCACCACTGCTCTGTCTCAGTTTGTAACTATGTCCACTAGACTGCCTGAGGGGGACACCGCACTTCGTCAAAGAGCGGGAGGTGGAGGAGGGAGAGTGGTTTGTTAGCTCATAGGGTGGTGGGGGATGGAGGGGTTAGTGGAAACTCCTGTGTTGTCTGATTTACCGTCGGATGAATGGAGTGAGAGAGGAGATGCAAATAAAATGGGCTGTCATGGAGTCAGATTAAGACCATAGGGAGGGTAGTTTCCAAAGCAGCTGGAAACATTTGAGATTGGCTAATCAGTTGATCAGGACAGGAGCTAAAGATCAGGATGGAGGCAGAGGACAAGGAAGGCAGAGGTGAAATTAAGGTCAGCTCATTTACGTCTTAAGTCCCATGATGCACTTGTGAGGATGCTTTAAGATGAGAGCCAACCACTGTGGGATTCACAGTCTGGTGTTGTAACACAGCCAGCTCTCTTTTATGGCTAAACTTACTTTGACTTCATGTAATCCATACATGGAGAAGCCGAGGCTTCATCCTGCAGTATTCCTCTGGATAAGCTGCTCTTATGGCAATCACAAAATCAGATTATTATCAATGTTAATATTTTTATGCAAATAGAGGTCTGTAGATGGACAGAACATCAGGCAGCAGTGGCTGTGAGGTGTTCCATAGTACCACCATAGATAAATAGATCATCGTTCAATAGACAAATTCCTCACTAGTAATCAACTTACTGAGGAATCAGGTTGCTTGATTGGTGATGCTCAGTTTTTAATAAAATATCTAAAAATTACACCAATACAGTGTAAGATTGAAAAACACAAAAGGCAATGTTGTTTAACAACTGGGCAGAGTTTCACTTTGCTCATCTATATACTACATTATTTCCATCTTTAGCAGCTTCGACTATTAAGCATCAACTGCCAGGCCATGAGAGTCAAACCAACCTAAAAATGACACAATCAACATTTTCTCGTGTGGCTAGCTAGCTTAAATAAATCAGCTCTGATTTCATTAATTTTGGGAGATCTGTGATCGGCCACCGTCTCATTTTGCTTTGCTGACAGAGAGGCCTGACTGACAGACTCACCCACCAGGTCACGACAAATGTCTTTTCAAGCCATTACCACTTTTTATTTATTTATTTCTTTAATGTTACAAGCTTATACAAAATATGTTTGAGTTGACAACATATCACATTATGTTCTTTACATATTATTTTAGTTTCCTCAAAGACTGGGTTAATTGTCATTAGCTTTGCAGCCTCCTTGAACAGATCAGCCCAGGCTATAGAATAAGAACTGAGCTGCTGTTCCTAAATGAATGACTGATATCACGTCATGTCACTTTTATAGTTTTTGATATTGGACAACTCTAGACCTTAATACCATTCACTTAAATCATTTGTTTAAGTAATGACACGTCTAATGGATTCGTAATTCTGTCCTTATTACAGGGAGTCTGTGACCTGTTTTCAAAAGTTCTTATAACTTTGGCTAAAAATGACAAAGAACCAACTAATGTTCTTAAACATGGATAACAAATATTGACTTTACCAGTAACTTTTTTCAAAAGGTCAGGTAACCAGTGGCTCTAAGCAAGATGTATTTAGCTGGAGCGACTCTTTGGATCAGACAGATTGAAGACATTTGCCTTAGGTTTGCCACCTGTGATATCTATACCACACTCATAATACCACGTCTTAGTTTGAAAGGATTTTGCCTAATAATTCTTATATTAGTATTTAAAAAACTGTAAAAGACACTGGAATGGGTAGCTTGAGCAAAACTGTCCCAAAAGGGTGTGCTGAAATCGGGCTTTTCTATATTTCTATAATGTTCAGAGATTCAATTTTCTCTACTCCAATCAGCTGAAGGTTTAAAAAGAAAACCTTCTCTTTAATATTCATGCTCATTCACTTATGTTCCATATTTTTATTTTAAATATATCAGTAATCATCACAAAAATCCTGATCAGACTTTGGCATGTTACCAAGTTGTTGAGCTCAGAGATTTGAGGTTGGAAGGCCTCCTTGCCATCACCCTAATCTTTTGGCCCTAACGGTTCTCTTTTAAATTCAAGTTTGGACTTTGGGTGGGCATTCTTTTCCTGTCAGAGGAAAGATTACTGAAATTCACAGATTAGTTTACCTAAATGTCCTGAGGGTACAAATAATTAATGACAATTTGGGCTTAACTCCACCAATCGTAGTTGGATTAAAAATTGCAGGATAATACTTCATCTTTTTGTTATTTGAACATTTTTAATGAATTAATAAATTTTGTTTTAATAAATGTTTCTGGTTGAGAAATGAAGCACCAGAAAAGCATAGTTTTGATAGAGTAAAAGCTGAAACCAGTGGTACAGCTTGTCTAAATCTTTGGTTATCTCCATTCATTTTGCAGCAGATATATAAAAGAAATGTATTTTTAAAATGAGAATTCTGTTGAATTTGAGGTGGAAATGTTTACTTTGAATTTACCTCTTTAAAGAAAATTTTCAATCTAAAATATTTACTGAACTAAATTTTCCTCTGGTTCAGCTGTGATTTTGTGCTGGGAAAACCTTCTCTTTAATATTCAATATAGTGCTAATTTGGCATTTGCCCCCTCCCTAAGTATTTTCACTCATTAGGTAGACACATACATACACATGTCAGACAGTCCAGCACAGCCTCAGTTTTTTGGCAACTTGAGGACAAACTGTTCAGTGATGGACAGAAGTCATAATGTCAACTAGTGGATGCTCTTTTGTTCATATAATTTGTTGTGTAATTGCTTCAGCCAGTCAATATTTCATTAATACTCACTCTGAGCCTCAGGACCCTCTGTAGTTTCCATCTGTGAGGCAGAGTGTAAGAAACCACATTGATCTGTACAACTGCAAATCACCCATTGTTGATCACCAATGTCACTGATTTTGCTCTCAGTGTAGTGAGCAGTTTGTGAAAGGTCGTGTGACTCATTTGACTCCGTTTCCTGTTTAACAGCAAAGTGATGTTGAGGTTTTCCAAAACATCCCTTTGCCTTCTGGAGCATCTTTGCATGTTAAGAAATAAAGTGTTACTTAAATGCCTAAATATGATTTTTTTAACACTTTTAATGTGGCCTCCTACTTTACTAGTGACTTCAAGCATTACAATTAGTCATTTTTATTGGATGTCGCTTTGAAGATGTAGATCAAGCAATTGGAATTTGATGGCATCAGTAGGGCTGATTATTTTAGTCATCGAGCAATCTGAGGAATTTGACGATTAATCAAATAAACCGAATAAGACATTATCCAGTTCTGTAGCTTCCTAAGCAACTGAAAGAGAAAATTCTTGTAAAAAGCAATTCAGTTATTTTTATTACATCTAATTATTTAAAATGTAGTACAATTCAAACATCTCTTACTCTCAAGTTTGAAGAATAAAAAACTTTAAGTGGAAAAACTGAGAAAGCATTTTACATTACTTTAAAAATGAAAAAGGAATCTAAAATTTAATGCCTTTTGTATTATACTTCGCTTTCAGTCTAAAGTTTGAGTTATGAAAAAGCTTTTGTTATAAATTATTTCTATTTTTTTACATCTTCTTGATCAGCACGCACGTGCAATTTATTTTCCTGTGCATGTTCTACATGTTTAGGAAAATATATTGTTCTAACAGTGACATATAAGTTTGTCTCTTATAAAGGGAACCAAAACCTCGCCTGTGATCAGTCACAAATGAGCTTGATGCATGTAGATGTGTAACCTCCAAATTCAGGTTGGGCCAAATTTATATGGTTAAGTTCTAGGTCAGGCTTCAATGACGATTTTTAAGCCTATATTACATATAGCACTGAGAAAACTAACCAAGAATACAAAATGTAAAGATATGTTAATGTATTTATTGAAGTCTAAATAGAGGAGGAGGTAGTTCAGCCTGGTGAGCAAAGAAAGAAAATAAGGTTCAGAAGTTAGACTACAACTAGCTCAACTTAAGCTTTCATGTTTCCTGCTCAGGTGCTGCATCATCGAAGACATGTTGATGTGAAACGCCAATTTCATTATGCAGTGGACTGAGCTGGTTAAACTTTTCTGTTTAAAGTGTTATGTATGTCCTGTGCCGCCTCCCTCCATAGCTGCTAGTAGCACTTAGCATTCGTCAAGTCCTTATTGGCGGAAGTCAGAGCGTTGCACAACACAAATAATCATTGGGCCGGAAGACAGAGCGCTAAATAGTAAAAGGTTATTTGACAAAACCTTGAGGTGGATCATTTTAAAATATTTAGGTCCTCTACTCATTCAATGAATTGTTACAACTCATCATGAACAAATTTCTTTTTATGTTATTATTAATCAGGCCACACTGAAAGAAATGCAATAGCTGTTGAAATAAATCTTGGAGATTTTATCTCTTAAAAACATAGGTTAAAAATTTAAAATGACAGCTGTCATTTTTTGTGGTCTAGACGGCTCCTCCAGTTTGAATCTCAGTGCAGACGAGTACAAGAGAGCCTTGAAGCAGATGGAGGGAGGAGAGTGTAAACAAACTAGGAGGGTGAAGGGAGGCGCTGATAATGAAGAACCCCTCTTATGCTTTTGCTTGTGTGTGTTTAACAAGCAGTCCTTCAACATTTTCTAGGTCAGTTCGCTGAGCTGTGTGGTAATCCATTTCTTTTGCGTGCAGAACTATGATCTATTTAATGTGGCACAACCGGAGCTACTACTCTGCTCTCAAGGCTCCACTGACGGGAGCCTCCATTCAGACTCAGAGGCAGCAGCGTGACATTCTGATCACTGGAACATCATCAGATTAGGTTGAAAAATGGGTTAAATACTTAAATACCAGCTGAATTGGTGCGAGCTGGAAAATACACCAACAAGGCTGCTGTTACTGTATCCGCTGATGTAAAGACCTGATAAACGTTTTGCTGATAGTGGATTGTTATCTTTTGAAACTCCTGTTTGTCCAAGCAGAATAGATAGAATAGAATAGAATAGAATAGCATTTATTGTCATTGAACAGGATTCAACGAAATTTCTATTGCAACTCCCGTGCAAAAAGTCAAAAAATACAATATTAAATAAACAAATACACAATAATAATAATATATACAACTAAAATTAACTAAAGGCACTCAACCACACCAAAGAAGAAGCAGCAGGTCCAATTATGGTAAAGTGCAGATGATGTGACAGTGCAAGTGCAGAACAATATGGCTGTGTGGGGTGGGGGGTGTATGTGAGGTTATGATATGTGTGGGAGGGGGCGGCAGGGAGTAATGGTTCTGACGGCTGTGGGGAAGAAACTGTTTCTCAGTCTGTTTGTTGTAGTCCGTATATTCCTGAACCGCTTGCCTGATGGCAGCGGCACAAACAGTCTGTGGCCCGGGTGGCTTGAATCCATGGCTATGGATCCAAAATACGGCCATAAAATATTTCTGTCTGATGTCTAACATTTGACCCCTGATTTCTGCAGATTAAAAAAAAGCTAATCCAGTTTTCCTCAGACTCGGCTCAGAAATAAAAAAATGTTGGATTGGATACAGTTCACCAGCAGAACAGATGAATACAAGAATTCTTCATGTTCCTGTGTGAGGATCTAGTTTTTAAGTTTTAAAGTGTAGTAACTTATGAACAGTTTGCTCAGTTTCTTGAGAGAAAAGGTTGCATCTCCTCATTTGTCATCTTTCCTGAGCATGTAAACAGACTTTTCAGACTTAAAAGTATGTTACATCATCAGATCCTTCCTCCATTCAGCTTTATGACAATTTATGAGATTGAGAAATGTTCTTGGAGAAGTTTGTAGATTTGAGAAGATTTTGGTGGGAAGAGTGCCAGAACAGGGTTGCAGAAAGTCACCCCAGAACCCGATTGTTCATTTATTGTTTATATGCACTTATTTTTGCACAGTGTCGGTGTTTATCTCTAGCCATCATTGGGTGAGGAGGGTGAGGTACACCCTCGACAGGTCACCACAAATTTGTCAGCTTAAGCTAAATATAAAGAAGCATGTCATAGTCTTGCAGAAAATAAATTGTAAAGACAAAATGACAAAATGTGTGTTAGGAATGCAGAGGCAGCGAAGGAGAGAGGGACAGAGGGGGATTATTGTTCAGTGGGTTAATCTGTGGCTGTAGTAAACATGCTACTGTCCAGGGTTCAGAACACTTTCTGACAGATGGCCAGAGACACGTAAACATGCAGTGTTTGTAAATCCACGTGCTCACACATAAACGTGGAAGAACACATGTTCATCATGTTCATGAGTATTCTTTTTTTAATCTTTTTTTTACAAAACATGAAGAGCTGTTCTTCAGATTCATTAACACTTAATGAACTACACAATGTCCTGCTCGGATTCAGGAATATTTCCTACATGTCAAGAGAAAACTGCTGCACTCCGATATGTCCATTAGCTATCACGTTGCTTCAAATGGTTTTTATTTATTTTTTGCACAGAGGCAGATATATAAATTTTAATATCACATATATAACGATTGTATTGAATATTTTAGATATTTAGATGACCAGCCCTTTGGTTCCCGCAAGCAAGTAGAAATTGGCTCTTTTTTGTTGCAGATAGATCCTTCTCCTTTGGGAGATAATCTCTCAGGAATACAGAAGTGATAAGATTTTACTCTGAGATCTCAGCATGTCAGCAAAGGTTCAGTGCTGAGTCTGATCTTTTTTGTTAGGAAATTAAACAACCTATAAACTGAAAGTAAATCAAGTTTTGAGAATTAAAAAAAGTTCTCCTGTCCCCATTCCTTTGTGCCATTTTCTGGTTTCTGAGGGACGAGCAGTTTTTATCAGAGCAGCCAGCTGGTATTTTAGTTCTGTTGCAGGAACCCACGGGATGTTCCTCCGTCAGTGCAAAGAGAGCACAGTAAAACTTCAACAGGAATGTGTGAAATACTGAAATTAAATGTTTCCTCTGAAATCCAGGACTACAAACCTAGTTGGTCATTAATGAGGTGTTAAACATGCTTCATTTACACCCAGTATTTTATTTATTGATCCAAGGTTGGGCAAATAATTAGATCAAGCAACCATAGAAGTAACTATGATGGACAAAGAACATTTTATTTTATGTCAGAAAAAATAACGTCCACTTCTTCTGACAAAAGTGGACGTTGCAACTGATACTAATAAATGAAACTTTAGATTTAGGTTTTCTGTCTTGCATATCTTATAGTTATATGTAATTCTAGTTATGTAACGCTATTAATGAAACTGCCAAAACAGGAAAGAAAATACATCGGTTTTCAAATAAAAAGCTGTTTTTTATCAAACAAATGACATCAAGTGCTTCATTTTCAATATTGTGTTAACTGGAGGTGACCTGGCTACCTAAAACTACATAGATCTGCATAAAGGAGTTACCAGCATAGAAATCAAGGTAGCTGAGCTAAAAACATAATTTTATGTTGTTTTGGTTTCTCGTCTCTTCTTGCTGCTTTATTTTATCTCCTAAAGTTATATTTATTCAGTTTTAAGAATATTTCCAAATGACTGATTTATGTTTTAACCAAGATCTTCTGAGTCATAATGTTGAGTCAACACCAGTCAAATTTAGTTATTGTAAACAATCTTAACATCTGGAATGACACGTAGTGTTTGCTTTTCTTTGAAAAAGAAGTCTGAGTTTAACGGTTTGAGTTCGTACGCAATCCTGAGTCTGCATCTGCTCAACGAGTCAATGATTTGGACGTTTCAGCAGACTGGGCTATTGTACGTTTTCATAAACTACTTTAAGATTTGTAGTCCAAGTCTAAGTTGAACATTCTTTTCTCAGGTCAGTTTATCTTTCATCTTTCTTCCATCACAGTCTGAGCAACAGAAACAGAATCAGAAATGATGGTGGGATAAATTGCAGATTACACCTAATCTGGAAACATTTAGTTCTTGTTTTTCTCACTCCATTTTGATCTCAACTTGAAGGTTCTCATGTCTTTTTAATATGATATCAATATTATATCCTGTCAGATTCACCAACCAGCAGAATGTGTCCTGATTGTATCGCCTGGTATCTCATTCCTCATTTGTCTTACATTTTGTTCCTGATAAGTAGATATTGTTCTCAACTATGAAGAACTAAAGAAAGCTTTTTGGCCTTTGTTTGTTCCAGTATGGACGGTCAGACAGCTACCGGGTGGCCACCACACAGGACACGGTTGAGAAGGAGGCGCATAAGAAGAAGGGAGGCAAGGACCTGGATGATCTGAAGAAAGAAGTACCCATCGTACGTGCGCTTCCTGTGTTTCAGATACTGATGTTTCGCATTCATCTTTTTTACAGAGGTTCATTTGATCAACTGTATGAATAAAGGTTAATGTGGAAGCATATAGATGATCAGAACCAGATGAGTAAAGTCAATTCACCTGATGTTTTTAAATGAGATAATATAGAAGATGTTTTAGCACCTGGTGCTGCAGGGTGTGGTTTAACAAGGAGGAACAATTTAATCTATCTGTGGAGTGATTTATTTCTCTAAGAGGCAGAAATTCAAACCCACAGCATCTCTTCTTGATTTAAAGCCACTTATGTTTCAGATAAAATTATAAAAATCAGATAAAAATGCTTTGCTTTTTTAAAAACAAGGATTCGTTGTCTTGTGTTAGTAGTTTTTCAGTTGCAGATTTTGAATTTATAGAATAGTTTACATGAATTTTGATGGCATTTTTCTGTTAGCTAAATTCACCGCCCATCTGCATTCTCTACAGACAGAACATAAAATGTCCGTTGAGGAGATTTGCCGGAAATACAACACTGATATGGTTCAGGTAAGATATTAAATTCAAACCACGCAGATCAGTCTGAAACCATCTGTTTCAGTTTCTACTGAAACACCAGTTTCTACTGATTGGTAATACATCTCCTCTCTGTGTTTACCACACCCAGGGTTTGACCAATGCCAGGGCAGCAGAGTACCTGGCCAGGGATGGACCCAATGCCCTGACTCCACCCCCTACCACTCCAGAGTGGGTCAAGTTCTGCCGTCAGCTGTTTGGTGGCTTCTCCATCTTGCTGTGGCTCGGTGCCATCCTCTGCTTCCTGGCCTATGCCATCCAGGCTGTGTCAGAGGATGATCCACCTGGGGATAATGTAAGTCATGTTGTTTAAATGGAAATGTAGCTTCTAACATTGTTATAATGTAATTTTAGTGGAACTATGGCATATTATTACAGAATCAGGCTATGTTCACACAGCAGGTCCTGATGCTCAATGAAATCTTTTTTTGTTGTTTTTTTGGTGTCGTCATTTATACTACTAATTAAAAGTGACTGCAATGAGACTTCTGTGCTGATTATAATGCAGAGCATTCTGGGTAAATACAACCATAACAAATGTGTCTGTCTAGTGCTAGGAGGATAAATGGTGTGCAGTTTTTTACAAAAGACAACAGAAATCCTACAACTGCATATTTATTTTACATTTTGTGAAGATGCAAGTTGTGCTCATGTCTTCTTCTGCTTCTAAACAATCAGCTCAGAAGAAAATGTTTTCTTGTTGCTCAACATATGCATTCGGTGTCATATTGAATAAAGTATTGGTGCTTTTCAAGTTCTCCCTCAGTGGTTATAATTTTCTGCCTGATAGTTGTGGAGAAGTGTCAGTCTCAGGGTGAGTATTTGCTGCTCTGTTTCCCCCTTGTGCAGATGACTATGTGAGAGATCATTGTGCAGAGTCCTCCAGGATGAATGTGTCGGCTGTTTGTCACAACGCTGCCAACTGGCCTGTCTTTCAGTTGACGCACACCGTCCTGTTAGCGTCTGTTTTCATGCTGCTGAAGGGAGATGGTGACTCTTGGTGTTTGGAACGTTTGGGGAAGAGAAAGATGTTGTCGGGTCAGCACGGTTTCCATGCCGGGTCAGAGCACAGAACAGAGCCGAGAACAGAGGCTAAACGGTTCTGACGCACACAGCATGACCAGACAAAATACTGTGGGTCAGACCGCAGGGAAGAGGCGGTGAAACAGCAGCAGTGTTGAGCCAGGATGAGCGCTCCTGTCTGTTATCCACCAAAACATGAGTTTATGCTCTGATGACCAGCCACAAAAAAATATAGATAACAGGACTTTAAGAACTTAGTTAATGTATTTCACCACAAGTTAACGTTTTAGACAATAAAAACAGCTACAGCTTGAAGACTTCAGTGATAACTTCACATTTTTCTAAAATAATTTTCATTTCTTTTAGTCAGTTATTTGATGTTGACATTAGCTGCTGAGGTGTATTTTTTCTCTGTGCTTGGATGCAACATATTTTTAGAATAGAAAAGTGATCTAAGTTGACAGATTTTTACATCAGATCTGAAAGTCTCCTATTTTTTCTCTTCTTCTCTCTCTGTAGTTATATCTGGGTATCGTGCTTTCGGCTGTTGTCATCATCACTGGCTGCTTCTCCTATTTTCAGGAAGCTAAGAGCTCCAAGATCATGGAGTCCTTCAAGAACTTGGTTCCTCAGGTGCAAATGTTAGATTTTTGTTTTTGCTTTCTTTCCTAAAACTCTAAGAAATATAATGAATCTTTCTATATTGTTTTCAAAGTGTTTTAATAAAAGAACCCTTCCAAAACGTTTCTTTGGCACAATGTAAAGGTTTAATTTTCATATGTGACAATTATGGCAGTCAGATGTTTATACGTATTTTTTTTTTTCTGTAAAGCATTTTGCTTTGTACCAATTGATACCCAACTTTTTTGCCACAACTGTTTTCTCTTTTTATGTCTGTTAAAAACATGTAGCTACGACATATCTCATGACTGCCTTCCGTTCCCAGCAAGCCTTAGTGATCCGAGAGGGAGAGAAGATGCAGATCGATGCCGAGCAGGTGGTGGCAGGAGATCTGGTGGAAGTGAAGGGAGGCGACCGGATCCCCGCTGACCTCCGCATCGTCTCCTCCCATGGCTGCAAGGTGTGCAAAAACCAGAAAAAACTCAAGCTCTAGCAATTTCTCTGTTTAAGTAGTTTTAAACGGTTTTCCTGTATTTCCAGGTTGACAACTCATCCCTGACTGGAGAATCGGAGCCCCAGACCAGGTCACCTGAGTGTACCCATGACAATCCCCTGGAAACCCGAAACATTGCCTTTTTCTCCACCAATTGTGTTGAGGGTAACTTCACTACTGTCAAGTTTATAATGGTCTTTATAAATTTAACATTAATGGAGACAACAATCAACCGTTTCAGGAGTGTATTGTATTTGAAGAGTAGAAAAGTATAGCAGATGAGTGACATTATTTTTAGTTATCAAGTAACATGGTTTATTAAATAAAATAAAGCAATTTCCCTTCTTTGAGCTGCACAATAGTGCAATTGGTAGTACTGTTGTTTTGCAGCAATAAGGTCCTGGGTTTGAATCCTGGCCTGGCGTCTGGAGTTTGCATGTTCTCCCTGTGCATGTGTGGGTTCTCTCCTGGTACTCCAGCTTCCTCCCACTTTCCAAAAGCATGACTGTCAAGTTGATTGGTCTCTCTAAATTCTTCCTATGTGTGGTTTTGTGTGTGTATGATTGTTTGTCCTGTCTGTCTCCGTGTTGCCCTGGGTTAGGTTTATGGTTACCTCTCCAGGGTGACCGACCTCTCGCCCATTAAGCAATAGTCACCAGCACCCCTCGCAAGCCTACTAGGGATGAGCACACGATGGGTTGAATGGAATTTCCCTTCTTTTTACACATGATTTGTATAGACTTGTACGTGGATTACAAATTTATATCCCTGTAGTTTTGTATTTAAAACTACAGGGATATTTTGACATTTGTGTCAATGTAATTCTTGTTTTCCACCTTCAGCTTCATATGTTTGTAATCTATTTTGTTGTTAAAGATAAAACTATAATGATCCTAATTAAGAGTTTAAAATCCCTGCCATGTTTAACATTTTACATCTGGTGCCCTCTTGTGGTCAAAATTCATGTCTCGTGCCTTCAAGTTGAATCAAACAGTCAACTCTGTTTTTGCTTTCATTTATTGTGATTCTATGTAATAATTTTGATTAGTTTCTGTTTTTAACTTCCTGTATTTTATTTAATGCCATAAGGCTAACAATGTTCTCGAACCTTTCTAGGAACTGCTCGTGGAATCGTCGTGTGCACTGGTGATCGTACAGTGATGGGTCGCATCGCCACTCTCACCTCAGGCCTGGAGACCGGCAAGGTAATGACTTCAGCATCTGCAGACGCTCCGCAGCGGTGCATTAAAGCTCCTGATTCGCAAGAACATCAGTTAAAGATAGTTATCAAATGTTTATGCCTGCGTTATCCAGTTTCTCTATTTTGGGGGTTTACAGATGGTTGTGTATGTTTATTTTTCTGCCATAACAGAGTAGTTTCAGCTTATCTTAGCTTCAAAAAGAGAATGAGGACCGTTGTTTCATCATAGGTTAAAAACAAGTTACTTAAAGCATAAAGTTGCCAGCACTCTTATAAAAAAATCTATGTTTGAACAAGAATTTGTTTTTCATCTTTTTTCAGACACCCATTGCGAGGGAGATTGAGCACTTCATCCATATCATCACTGGCGTGGCCGTCTTTCTTGGCATGACCTTCTTCGTCCTTTCGCTAGTCCTGGGCTACTCCTGGCTAGAGGCCGTCATCTTCCTCATCGGCATCATCGTCGCTAATGTCCCTGAAGGACTTCTGGCTACTGTCACCGTGAGTCTTCAGAGAAACTGGTTTGAGTGTTTGCGGTGTTGTTGACTTTGAAGAACACAGAGGCGTTAGCACATCATCTCTATAATGTTTCTGTCAAGTTGGAATTTTGTTATAGCTATCTTTTTTGTCTTGTTCTTTCTATTTGTTGTAGGTAGGGGTGGGCAATATGGCCTCCAAGTTTTATCACAATATATTGTAGTAGTATTTTGATAACAATAAAAGTGACTACAATAATTATTTATTACTTTTTTTAGGTAACTTTTTACTTGCATAGCTCCACAAACACAAATGCACTTTCACTAAAAAGCTATTTTAATGAACATTGGTAGATTTGTTGTTACTGTCAGTCTGTGTGACTGTGAGCCTGTTGTGTGTTTCTTTCAGTGTGTGTTTTGTAACTGCAGTGATTTTGCTGAACGTTTTGTCCGGTGATGTGTTTTTTCTCTTAGTTTTGTGTTGTTGTGATGTAACTTTATGTCTGGCTCAGTTTTTGTGTCTGCTGAATCTGTTCAGTTCTGTTTCTCTCCCTGTGTGTGTATGCGTGTGTGTCTTTGTACCAAAGCACTCATGTGTTTGTGTATTTGTGTTTCTCTTTGTCCATTCTCCTCTCTGTAATGTCTCTTCCCTCTTTTCCAGACCAGGGCGGGGCTTTCTGCAATGACAACAGCTAGTTGATGTAATGACATTAGGTCTGCTACTTTTTAGCTTGATAGTCTGAATTTGGCCTCTTTGACTCAGCTTTGGCTTGTTCTGTTTGGCCCTTTGGCCTTGCTGTACTTGGCTCATTACCATAATGCCAGGGTGTCAAACTCATTTTCATTTTGGGCCATATCAACATGATGAATGCTCTCAAAGGCCAGATTGTGCCAGAATGTATTGCTAAAACTTTTTAACCTCTTAATTAAAATATTAATAAATATTTCAATTAGATCTTCTTAAAATGATAAATATTGATCGTACTTTCACACTGGTCAGTCCCTCCAAGATTCTGCAATAGCTTTTGTGATATTTAGCAGTCAAAATTCCTGATTTTGTGGTGCTACTTTAGAAATACTTGCATGGAAGTTTGCAATATTTACGCTTATGTATGACAGTAAATGTGACTTTTTGTTACTTGCCACTTCAATCAGACTATAATCCTGACATCATGTTAGGCAGAGGCAGCATAGTATTACAAATAAGAAATACTGCCACCTGCAGGTGGGAGTTATCATTGCTTAAGTCCCAAAGTTTTAAACTATTTTTTGAATTTTTTTAAAATAAATTTACAATTGTGCACTACAATAACAATGCAGGGCTTTGTTGATTTTGCATGAATTTTTGCAGTCGTGGAAAACTGGAGGGACTGATTGATGTAATTTGGCAGTGTATAGATAGAACCTTGTTTGATTTGGCTGATAAAATAATATTTAAACACACAGCTGTTTTCTTCAAGGTTCTATTTCTGTGGCCCTGGAGCCCAGAGGGCCACAAAAAAAGCATAAAATAGATTTGGCCTCGACAGACCAGATTTGGCCTCTGGGCCTCGAGTTTGACACATTTCCCATAATGCATTGCTGTTCTGCTGCGTCACCTCACTCAGTCATGCCTCTGCATCGCTTTATTGGCTGTTAATACTCCTCAGAAGGAATCTTGATATTAGTGCATTTTGCTGAGCTGTTAAGAAGAATAAAATTGTTCAGGAATCTTGTTTGGGCTGTTTCTTAATTAATTTAGTTTGCTACTAATTAACTCTGCTCAGGCAGATACTCCTCTAATGTCAGGTTTCACAAATAAAGCACTAATTTATCTTTATTCTTCTCTTTCTTTGTTGTAATTGCCATCTATCCATTTTTCTCTTGCACCGTTTGTCTCCTCCTTTGCCTCCCTCTTTGGCATCACTCTGTCCTTCCAGGTGTGTTTGACTCTGACTGCGAAGCGAATGGCCCGTAAGAACTGCCTGGTGAAGAACCTGGAGGCTGTGGAAACTCTAGGTTCCACCTCCACCATCTGCTCTGACAAGACCGGCACCCTGACCCAGAACCGGATGACCGTGGCCCACATGTGGTTCGACAATCAGATCCACGAGGCTGACACGACTGAAGACCAGTCTGGTGAGAATTATGGACTGGGAGGAATTTCAGTTTATTCTTAACTAGATTCCAGTGCAACCAGGTTGAATTGAAATATTCATAATTCCCTACCAAGTAAACTTAAATAAATCTTGTTAATTTTTAAGACTTTGTTGAAGATAAATATTTAAATATTACATATAATATTTTACATGTAGCTCATGACATCAATAACCAATTAGCACCATGATTATGTCATCATGTAGCATTTGTAAGATAAATTATATGTTCTCATTATCTCTATCTCTCATTTTGTTTTCCATTAAAATATTTTTACAGTAAGTGAACTCCCAAGACAGCTGCATATTTAAATGCTTTTCTCATTAGAGGAGGAAATCATTACAGGCCTCTGGTTTAGATTTATAAACATTGACTGGAAACTTTTGTTTCAGTCAATAAGACCATATAAATAATAGAGAAGTGTTTCAACTCAGCACTGACAGACTAAAAGACAACAGCACAATAATAAATTGATAATTTTACAAAGCAATATAATTACTCTTGTTTATATCATGAAAAAACTAAATTTATCATCTAAATTGTAAAATCAAAGCTCAACTTTTTAATTTTGAGCTTTTAATTTTAATTGTTAATTTTTCAGCTATGCACACACCACAGATGTTGTCTATCTGATTTCTAACCATGAATCCTTCTTACTTCCAAAGTGCCTAAATGTAGATCAACAAATCTGAGGACACTTGCGTCCCCATGACAGTGAAGAGGTTAAAATAAATCTTAAATTCAGCTAAACACTTCACAAAATGTACAGCTGGTAAGGTTTTCATATGTTCAAAAATCTGCAATAAAACTAAACCACTGTTTGTCCTGTTAGTTTTAGAGCATTAAGTTCTCTGGAACTCAGTGAAGAAGAGACTAGATAAGAAAACAGATTTTAGTTGTGTAGCAGGAAACACCCAGACGTCAGATAAAGTATTTTCTTTTTGACCCTTTTAGGTTCCTCTTTTGACAAAAGTTCAGTAACATGGGGATCTCTGGCTCGCGTTGCTGGACTGTGCAACCGTGCTGTGTTCAAGGCCGGCCAGGAATCTCTGCCCATCCTGAAACGTGATGTAGCCGGCGACGCCTCTGAGTCAGCTCTGCTCAAGTGCATCGAGTTATCCTGCGGCAGCGTCAAAGGCATGAGGGAGAAGCACAAGAAGGTGGCTGAGATCCCCTTCAACTCCACCAACAAATATCAGGTAGACTCAAAATCATTCTTGGACTAGGTCAGACCAGAAGTCACAAACTCTGTAACGACTCTTTATTAAACACACAACGAAATATTTTTCCCATTCAGCTTTCAGTTCATGAAACTATGGAAGGAAATGTAAGTCCGTACCTGCTGGTGATGAAGGGAGCCCCTGAAAGGATCCTGGATCGCTGCTCCACCATCATGATCCAGGGCAAAGAGCAGCCAATGGACGAAGAGATGAAGGAGGCTTTCCAGAACGCCTACATGGAACTGGGAGGACTGGGGGAGAGAGTACTGGGTAAGAATAAACCCCAAGTTAATGCCAGACGCAAAGAAATTAAACCAAGTTAGTAAATAAGTGATGTGTGATAAAGCGAAATGACACAGGACAAATTGAAAGTTTGGAAGTTTCTGAAATATATTCAGAGTTTGTACTGGTGCTTTGAAACCCTAGAAAATGTTCACATTTTATTTGGGTGTTTTCAAGGTTTGGAAAGTGCTTAATATTCAAATGGTTGAGTTTTGTAATAAAGTTCAATCTAATGTTTGATCACTGCCTAAATTTGGAAAACATTATTTACTCTTGAAACCAGATATTTTCATACAAGACACATGCACATTTTTTTCTCACTGTCTGAAGTTAATCCAGACCAAACTTTTCCTGTTTTGTCAATTAGAATTTAAGATTTTTTTGTAATTTTATTTGTATATTGGTTATAGTAAAGATAACATTAACATATTTAGAGTTCTCTTTTTCTGCCCCTTCCAGGTTTTTGCCACCTGTTCATGCCGAAAGACAAGTATCCCAAAGGTTTTTCCTTCGACGCAGATGATGTCAACTTCCAAACAGACAAGCTTTGTTTTGTGGGCCTCATGTCTATGATTGATCCTCCTCGCGCCGCCGTCCCTGATGCTGTGGGAAAATGTCGCTCCGCTGGCATCAAGGTGAAAACCTTTCAGGTCCAACTTTAAAATGAGAGAAGTCTGGCAAATCAGCACATTTAAAACATTTGTAATGTATCATTTTTCTATTTTAGTTATAGTCTTAGATACAATTTCCAGTCCAAATTTAGTGTAACTTTAATTATAAAGAAGTTTATGCTACCACAAAAGACCAAAGTGCTGCAAGGAGAAAGGCATCTACTATGTTACAAATTATTAGAGGTATCTTTAGTACCATATATTAGTCCAATCATTTTAAAACTCAAGATTAACTCTGCTCTCGTTATGTATCCGTGATTTCTAACATTAAATGAAAGGCTTTGTAGTATGTTCAACAACTTATTAACATTTCGTTTCAAATTATTTACTAAACATGTCTACTATTTGCTGTTCTGTAGGTTATCATGGTGACTGGTGACCATCCAATCACAGCCAAAGCCATTGCTAAGGGAGTCGGGATCATTTCTGAGGGCAATGAAACGGTGGAAGACATCGCTGCTCGTCTCAACATTCCTGTCAGCCAAGTTAACCCCAGGTCAGGCTGCAGGCCCACGTTTATGCATCTAATCTTATTCCATTGATGAAAAACATGAGGGATTATGTAGTTCATCAACTGAAGGAAAGTAAGAATTGGATGCATGACAGCTATGTTTATCATTTGGAACAAACTGTGGCATGAAATAGTTTTTGTTTTGTAGTGATGCCAAGGCCTGCGTGGTCCACGGCTCAGATCTCAAAGAGCTGAGTCAGAACCAGATAGACGACATTTTGAAGAACCACACAGAGATAGTCTTTGCTAGAACTTCCCCACAGCAGAAGCTCATTATTGTCGAAGGTTGCCAGCGACAGGTAGAGTCAACAAACATGAACTTGATTCTAATTGTTTATTAGTTGATCTCCTGTTGTTGTGCATTTGGTCTAATAATATGAATGTGTGGAACTTTCCCTCAGGGAGCCATCGTGGCTGTGACAGGCGACGGCGTGAATGATTCGCCCGCCCTGAAGAAGGCAGACATCGGCGTTGCCATGGGGATTTCTGGCTCTGATGTGTCCAAACAAGCAGCAGACATGATCCTGCTGGACGACAACTTTGCTTCCATTGTGACTGGCGTGGAAGAAGGTGTGTGAGTTAAAAACAAAGCAGAAGTAAAAAGAAATGAACTTAAAATAAAAACAAATTAAAACGGTTTCAATATTATAAATATGATTTTTGTTACAGTCCAAACCTTTTGTGTCTGCAAACCCTAACTAAATACTTGTCATGTTTTTGTCTTCAGGACGCCTGATTTTTGACAACCTGAAGAAGTCCATCGCTTACACCCTGACCAGCAACATCCCAGAGATCACCCCATTCCTGTTCTTCATCATGATCAACATCCCACTGCCACTGGGTACCATCACCATCCTCTGCATCGACCTGGGAACCGACATGGTGAGAACAAAGTGTCAGTCAGGGATCCGAACTCTTGACCCTAATGCAAAGAAATCCCTGTTCGGTCTCTCATTTTCCCACAGATTCAGCATTTCTGCACACTTTGATGGATTAAACAATATGTTTGCATGCAAAGAGAATCAAAATATATGAGCTGCAAATAAAACAATATCAGTTAGTGAGTCACTAAGAAATATACGTCTTATTGGTTTTAACTACAAATTAGGTACAAACTGCAAAAAAAATTTTATCATCATGTCATTGTCCAAGTACTGTCTCATATAAATGGAGTGGTATCTAAAGAATGATACAGAACCAAGACGAGGGAGGAGTGTGGGAACACTAGTTAAAGCTTGTTCATTTTTCTTTCTGAAGAATTAAGAAAACACAAAAATTGATAAACAATATTCTTCATCTGTCAGGTTGAAATTTGCTCTTACAGCAGTGGATTTATCACTTTTCTCAGGTCAGATCCGAGTCGTGATATATTTTAAATTTGTCTTTCTGTATTTAAGACATATAGTTGTAGATTTGTTACCAACATTGAGTCCTGTTTACATCCAGGTGGTTTCTACAATTGTTGTACATGTACTAATGATGAGGCACATGGCTTTCAGGCTCCTATTCTCACACTGATGTGAGGATGAGAAAAACGTTTGGGCTGCTGAATGATAAAATAATCTGAAGTATTTTGGTGAAAAATCTCAAAGTGAGCTCATTCACAGGTTTAGGATCGGTTGAACAAAATGTGATTGCTTCTTCTGCTCACCTAAAACTGTTCATGTAAACATTTTAGAATTTTTTTTTCCTCTGTAAATGAAATGTTTGTTTATGTTTCCATTAAATTGATTGGGGTTTGAAGAATAAACCACGTTTGTTCTGTTTGAGGTTCCTGCTATTTCTCTGGCCTATGAAGCAGCAGAAAGTGACATCATGAAGCGCCAGCCAAGGAACCCGAAGAGGGACAAACTGGTCAACGAGAGGCTAATCAGTATCTCATATGGACAGATTGGTGAGTTATATTCTATAACCATACTCAGAAAACATTAACTATGTTCACACTGGGCTGCATGCACATATTTTAGTGCAGTAAATCCTATTCTATTTAGTTCAATCACTTCTGATTCAGTAAAGAATGGCTGCCAATGAAAGCTAACTAGCATTCTGCTAACAAGAATGCTACGCTCTGTTTCTGCAGGCATGATCCAAGCTCTTGGTGGCTTCTTTGCCTATTTTGTTATCATGGCTGAAAATGGTTTCCTGCCGTCTTACCTTGTGGGTATCCGGCTGAACTGGGACGATCGCTCCAACAACGACCTGGAGGACAGCTACGGCCAGCAATGGGTACGAGTCGCCTCCTGCCATCTCTCTGTGATCATGTTGGCCTTCAGACTTCTCTATTGATATCAGTCATATGGAACAAACATGAAAAATATAGCAAGAACTGTAATTTTCTGATGTGATGATGGTGTGAAGGCCAGCAGCACTGAAACAGAAACATGTTCTGTTTTTCTGCTAGACGTATGAGCAGCGGAAGATCGTAGAGTTCACCTGCCACACAGCATTCTTCGTCAGCATCGTGGTGGTGCAGTGGGCCGACGTCATCATCTGCAAGACCAGACGCAACTCCGTCTTCCAGCAGGGAATGAAGTGAGGATGAAATGATCTCAAAGCGTTGACAAAAATACACCACAAAAAATTCTGATCATGAAAAGATTTCTTTAAAAAGAAACAGCTTGTATCCTCAGATGATCACAGATCTTCCAGTAGATTGGCAGTAAATTCTTGAACCAGGAAGTTTATTTAACAATCAACATCAAGCAGGTCTGAACTTAGTCGCATGTAAAAAATCTAGAAAAACGATCCAGCTTTCAATTAGCATTTTATACCATGCAGTTCCTCTTTGCAGCCACATGGTGGCAGTAATAAACCAGATGTTCCAACATAGAGAGCTGTTCTGCTGACAGCATTTAGAGCCTGATGAGGGTGTGATTACAGAGCAAATTAAGACGAGTCCACACTTTCATTTTTTTCTGGCTGAACTCTGGGTTCCTCCTTTCACCTGTTATTCTGGATTTTCTGCCTCATCTTAAATTCTCCCAACATTGCATTTTACCTATGATCACTCAAATCGTTTCTCCTTCATTTGTTTTGCAGGAATAAGATCCTGATCTTTGGGTTGTTTGAAGAAACGGCTCTGGCTGCGTTCCTGTCCTACTGCCCCGGGTTGGACGTGGGGCTCCGGATGTACCCACTCAAGTAAGAAACCTACACTACACGTTCAACCCAGCAAAGGACAATAAATTCAGATAAAGATAATATGTTTCTTTAAATCCAGTTACTATAGTCTTAGTTCTCCTCTCCTACTTTAATTCAGCAGCTCAGTCAGGCGTAATGATTTTTTTAGTTTTTGTTCTCCCCTTCAAGGCCCGGTCTGTCCGATCCACTCTCACCCTGACTCTTGTTTCTCCTCAGGCTCACCTGGTGGTTCTGTGCGTTTCCGTACAGTTTCCTCATCTTTGTTTACGACGAAATCCGAAAACTCATCATTCGCCGAGACCCTGGAGGTGAGTTCAGACCCTCGCCCACTTTGATAGCAGAGGCTCATTTCTGTCATAAAGCCTGAGTCAGTAACTGGTGGCTCCCTCTTCTTCTCCTGTTCCTTTCTTCCTCTTCTGTCTTTGCAGGCTGGGTGGAAAGAGAGACTTACTATTAAATCATCAAAGCATCCTTTCCTTGTAGCCCATCCTTCCCTAAACTCGCCCCTGCCTCTGTCCTTGCCTTCCCTCCTCCATCCACTCATCTGTTGCTTCTTTCATTTTCTCTAAAATACAAAAGAAAATGATGTTTACTCATCCTTCCATCTTTTCTTCATTCCCCCATGTTCATTTCTAAACTAAAAACACAACTGCCAAGACAACGAGAGGACCAACAGCAGCAGGGTTGAGGATAGGGGAGGCGCGGCCTTGTTACAGCCCCTCCCCATCCTCTCCGTCGCTCTGTCCTTTTTTCTATCCAAAGTCTGTACAGCACTAATCTGCCAGAGCCACAGTTTGTGCCGACATTGTTCCTCCACTGCCGGCTTCAGCCGCTCATCGTTAGCGCGCTCGATATTCCGCCGCTGCTCGGTGCTCCGCAAACATCTCGATCCACGGGTTTAAAAAACCCGACTGTTCCTCCGCAAACCCAAGGCAGCTCCCGCGCCCGTCTCCGGAGCGGACGTCCCGTCTCTGTCCACCTCCTGGAGTCGAACGGCCCAGATCCAACTGCGTAATCACTGCCATCCCTCCTGTCCTCCTCCTTGTCCTCCTCTTTACTCACTGCCGTCCTCCTCTTCTCACCAGTGAGCCGAGCGCTCACCGACGCCCCCGGCAGGGTGGAAGAAAGGCTCCACTCCCTCCTCCTCCCATCCTTGTATTCTTCTCTGTTAATCGTTTTCTAATAGATGACTGTGTGTGTTTTAAAAACTCAATTGTTTGTAAAAGCTTTGTGTTTCTTTTTCTGTTTAAGTTCAGAGTGGGTCTGAGAGATGCTTGTTTTCATTCGGGCATGACAAAGCACACCGTCCCTCCTTATCCTTCTTCTGACCCTCCTCTCCATCCCTCCTGTCGATCTGTCCCAGTTTCTGTCTGTTTGTGAACACTGTGGAAACCCGCCGTCCCTCCTAAACTCCTGACCAGATCTCACTCCTGTTCTCTTCCCCTTTAAAAAAAATAAAGAAAACAATCTTTCTGTGTCCTAGAAAAGAGATTTCTCTCCAGTTTCATTCTTTAAATCTTTGGAAAATGTGGAATAAGGGCCTGTACCTTAGCTCCTGATACAGCAGCAGATAAAAAAAGAGAAGTCAATGAAATAAAAACAGAAGGATCTCACTTGTTCAGCTTAATCTCCAGTTTGTTTTTGTGTGGAGTTATGTCAAAAAATGGGAATAAATTCTGTGACCAACTCTTACATGTGGCAGCAGTCTCAAGTTGTCTCTTCTTCTCCCTCTGAGTTTCATTAAGTCACTTAAACGGGACAATAAACAAATCAGGACTGAAAATGAATTTATTATGATTCCTAAAGAACGGAAAAACATCAAATGAAATAATAGATGTAAACCTTCATGTCTTCCCCTAAAGCAGCACTGAGGAGGAATCCTGGAAAACTCAGACATATTACAGAACACACATTACCTGGATTACATTTATATAAAATAACAAACTTCAGATGCTACATTAACCTCAAAGGGAGTTCTTGTTCTCACTATTTAATTAATTGTCTTCTGAATTCTATCTAAAAAATAATCATCTCACTCATTCAGCTGTGGTGAAACTTGGCCAGAACATTTTTTTGTCTTCAATGTTTTAATCTCCTTTGTGTAGAAAAAATGCTTGTGATATTAAAAACCTGTTAAAAATAACAGCATTAAGCATCATCAACCAGATTGATCTCTGCTTTTGAAAGAATACCAGTAATTTGATTAAAAAGTTAATTGGAAAATATGAAGAGACTAAAATTGCCTGCTGAGTTGATCTCAAACACAAAAGGAAATGAAAGCCAGGAAGAGTTGGGAGAAAACAAATTACTGTTTGGACAGATGAAAGAAAATCCTAAAGGCCAATAAGAAGCTCTGCTCTGCATTTACCTATGAGTACAGAAGTAAAAGCAAATAAGGTTACAGATCATCAAACAGGATAATGACTGGCCTGCAGAAAGCCAGAAATATGTCGATGAACTAACTTGTTGTTTTTAGTCAGCTGACCAGCGCTGGGTTCCCACTGTGATGCACGGTGGTGCACACGGCATGATGAGGGCATGTGTATTCCATAGCAGGTGATAATCATCAACATACCTGAAGAGATTATTTTAAAAATAAAATTTGTGTTTTTATGGAATAAAGAAGCCAAACAGTCGAGTTCTGCTCCACAATTCAACAGGACGCTTGTAGGGAGACGTTCAGCATGTCGAGGATCAGTGGAGCGTTGGCCAACACTGACTTATTCACAAAATGCAGCACACACGATATTTTCAATAAGCTACATGTTTACATGTATTAATAAATCTAAACAAAGGCTGATCCAGTCGGGTTTTCCCTCAGGGTGTGGCTCACCTGGTCAGAGCCATCGCCGCTTCCAGGACATTACTAAAAGACAGACGCATTTTGTTCTCGCTGTCTGAAGTTGGAGAAGAATAAACTTTTCTTATTTTTTGTCAGGATCATCAAAATGATTTCTGTTTGCTAAATGCCAGAAAACTTAGCAAGGACATTTTTATTTTTTTGTAACTTTCTAAGACCAGTGAGGTGGATAATGAGTGTTAGAGAAACATTTCAAAACAGCATGTAGAATACAAGCACAAGATAATATTCATATTTTTTTTACTAGATTTATAATTTTCCTCCAAAGTGTGGTGTTGGAAAAGTTTGAAAATGCTTGAATTGTACTGTGGGAAAAGTGTACAAACCCTGGATTTGTATAAATCACATCTTATTTTTCATTAAATCTTAAAATCCATTAATCACTATCAGAAGTTGATTTTACAGGGAAAAGTCTGGAAAGATGGTTCCTAAAGTTCTGGTCTGGTTACGACCCGGATGCTTCGTTCTTCACTACTTTGTCCAAAACTCAACTCAGAACACCTTGATTCATGTCCACATCGTTAAAACCTGTTTTTAAAAAGCAAAATTTCCACCTTTCATGTCCTCTAAACCATCAGATCGCGGTGATCAACTAAACAACCAGCAAACAAGAAGGCGGCCATGTTGAACTGAAATCTGGCATTCAGCAGGAATTCATTTACATTTTCAGAAACACCTGCAGCTGCGGTCTTTGCTCTTGTTCTTCTGAGCAATTCTCTTTTTTCTTTTTTTTTTTAAGGCTCTTAACTTGTACAAAGAAACACACTCAGACTGGGAGCACTGGTGTTTCATGAATACCATTACAAGGCTCACAGAGCAAATGAGTGCTGCTGCCCAGTTGACTCCCAGCGTCGTAACCCAGGGAAATGGGTCACCTCCTTGTACTTTCTGCTAAAAACTGCAGAAATATGCCTTATTTCCTATTAGAGCTCAGCTGCAAGTGCTTGGGAAGTAAATCATGAGGCATCTTTTAATAAGACTAAAACAAATCTGAGAACCCGGTTATAAAAAGGCCGATAAAACGCCCTTCCTCCCCCAGTGTCAGCGCTCTCTTCTGAAGGATAAGGCCGTGCAGATAATGGAAGGATGGATGTCTTATTAAGCACATTTACCATCCGCAGGAGGACAGAAGGTCACCTGTGTGATGTGAACTTTCCTTCTGATAACGATCTTTGACTTAAGCTTTTGCTGAAAATGTCTTCCCGACGTCCTGCTCTGTTGGAAATGACAGATAAATGTAGATCCCATCTCTGTCAACCCGAACCCATCCACCCAAACGGCGATCTTTAAAACCTCCTTCAGTTTTAGAAACAAAAAAATAAAAAACTGACAACATTGGTGCTTCAGAAGGACAGAAATGGAGGTGAAACATCAGATATAAAGATTTTCCTCTTCAGAATCAATTTTAAGGATCTTTTTCAACAAACTTGCACAGATCTCTCTGGATGGTCGATTAAAATAGGAAATATTTCTGTCTTTTATGTCTGCTTGGGTTTTTTTTTAATTAGTTTTTATCTAGTTATTCTTCAGCAAAAATGAATGAAGATTCAAGTCATTTTCATTGCTGTGATGCATTTTTTCTTTCAGAACGGCTGTGGGAAAAAATATGAACACTTTATTTTTTCCTAAAACACTCCTAAATCAGTTCGTTTATTTTCTCAACTACAGACATTTAAATTATTTTCTTCAACTTTATTATAGAGTTTTTTATTGAAGACAAAACGTTATGTATGAGCCACAAAATAAATCGGATGATTAGTCTTGGATTTGTCAAAGGAAATGAATGTGGCTGATTTTATTCCATTGCTATGTGATAATATTTGACATTTTTTTCATATTGCACCAGATTGAACAAGTGCAATTCCCTTGTAATAACTAAAGAAAACTAAAATATTTTAGTTGGCATTTAAAGTGTTTAAAAGGATTGAATTGTATTTTTGAGAATGTAAGTTTTTCTGTAGTTTATGAAAATGCTGATGATTTTTAATGGCACATTTTTGCCATAAATGTATTTAGAGGAATTTAAATCATGGAGAAAAGGAAACATTTTCAGTCTGAAACATTTTTTAGTTTTATTTTATCTACTTTTCCAGTATATTTTTTTTCAGTGTCTTTAGTTTAACCATCCTAAGTTATTTACATTTTTTTATTTACTTTTTATTCAACATATTTTTTCTATCACTGATGCTTAAATTTATATATTATCTAATAATACATTAGCAGGATTTTTACCTTTTAAAATTTAGTATCAATATTTCTGAATAAAATCTTTAGCTTGTATTGAAATAATGGCTCATTCTATAACATCCAGGGTTGTTTTTTCTGCTCTGAATGAATGTTGCCTTCACAACTGTTAGCTGAATTTATAGAAAGAAGACAGTTTGACAGGTGGAAAACATTTTATCTCTGTGAATCTTCACAGATTTAATCTGTTGTTGAGAGTTTCTGTGTGGAATTGAAACCTGCTTTTCTTCTCTTTTTCTCCGGTTTTGTACATATTTACACATGTTTACGGCCAGACCTGATGAACCGCGTTCAGAGCTCACGGTGAGGGGAAGTGAGGCGGTTTCTGCAGCGCTGCACGCGTCGTTGGTCGGCGGCTGCTGCTGCACGCACGCGCCGGCGCCGCCGAGCTTCTCCTCATCCTCAGCCTCACGCAGACACAGATCCACCGGCAAACATCTGTTAGAATATAAAAGGAGAGGAGAAGCCTGGTAGCGCTGCAGCTCCACTCCTCTCATTATGACACACACACTCGCATCCTTTTCTTGTCCTCTCCACATACACACACCGTCTCAATCTCCTACCCGATTATACCCGCACACTAAAACCTCTTTCTCCACACCTCCCCAACACTCTACCTTCCCTAAAACCCTTTTTGCTTCCTCTGACACACACACACAAACACACACCCACCCCCATTCCAGTAATCTGGCTGGCCCGTGGCCTCCTCTCTCTCGCTCCACTGTTCTGTGTGATAGAATATCGATCGGTTTGCCTCGGCTCGGCGTGGAGCAGGAGGAGGGGGCAGCTGCAGGGCTATAGGGTGTGTGTGTGTGTGTGTGTGTGTGTGGTGTGTGTGTGTGTGTGTGTGTGTGTGTGTTGGATGGGGGGGGCAGTGGTCAGACATGCTCCAAGGTTGTTACCACAGCAACAGCAGGATGGGTCAGAGGGTTGCCATGGCGTCCAGGTCGCAGGGTCAGGGGGAGGGTCCTGGAGGGCTTCTGTCTCTGTGCGAGTGTGTGTTTGTGTTAATAGGAGCTGTGTGTGTGTGTGTGTGTGTGTCCAGTGCTGCTGTATTGAGTGTGTTAATAATGAATAGTGTTGCATGCGGTCGCTACATCTGAGCGTCTCTTCCTACACGCCGTCGGTTCGCTTTATTTATGGAACAGATTCATATTTTCACACGTTTTAGACCAGAAACGTGGAGAATTATCTCCAGCTGTTTCTCCATTGATCTTATAACTGTGCAATTTGGAATTACAAAAACCAGTTTGATCAATGGATTCACAGCAATTTGCTTGAAAAACAGAGATGACATTTTATGATAAAAAGTTTTTGCGTGAGGATGTGGCGGGTTTCAGCCGAATTAAAATTAGTGTGTTTTGTGAAACTGCAGTGGAAACACACCAGCCATGTGACCAACAACCGGATGTTACTACTGCCAGAAACGATGAAGAAGACAGGAAGTGATCGAAAGTCAATTGTGTGGCGTGTGAACCAATTTATTCATGTTATTTTTATTGCATTTTTTTATTTACCGAATTTGCAAAATTGTGGGATTTGTAATGGAAACACAGCAGCTGATTCATCAGCAGAAAGACTTTATTAA